CTACAATTACACATATAACAATCTTAATGATGTGCAACAATAAAGGGCATTATGAGATTGAGCAATAGACACTAGCGATGAGAGTACCTTAGAATCAGCTGCAGGAGGAGTAGCAACGGCTTCTTCCGCGATTGGGGCTGATTGCTCAACAATGACACCGGTTCCGTCAGCAGAGACACCTCTGTAAATTGACGAAACAACATTAGATCAATCCAAACAACAAAAACCTTAAGTGGGAAACAATGTAAGAAGACAGTGAATGAAGCCTTACGAGATTCTCAAGAGAGCATCAATGTGGTTGTACCAACGAGAAGCGTTCACATACTGTGAAGTTGGGGGCTTTGCAAGAGCCGCAAAGACGGTGATATCATCCTTCGAAGCCTGGTACCTGTAAACATACACAAAATTGTTACTCCTATTGTTCATAACAAGGTAGAGATATATAGGATCTGATCAAGAAGAGCTTAATTCAGACAACACTTGTAAGAGATACAAAATCTTACCCAGTGATGTAACTGCGAGTGAGAAGATGCTCGTCGAGCTTCTTCAGTCCAGCATCAGAGTTAAGGTTTGGGAAAGCCGCCATTATTTTTCTAAAGCTGGAACCTTTTCTCACTGAATACAAAGCAGACATAAAACCCTCAACGATTCAGCAAAAAAAAAAAACGAAACTTTATATTTTTAAACGACACCAAACATCGATTCACTGAGACCCTTGATCTAGAGTTCCTAACTAACAGAGATCAACAATATTTTGATCGATAAATACATTAAAGGTTGAATTTTTGCAATCAAATACAATTTACAACGATGTATACTCTGAGATCGAAACGAACCTAACGGGATGCGTAAGAACGATTGATCTAAAGAGTGAAATCGAAGAAGAAGAACGAACCTGAGCTGATAAAAGTTGCAGACTTGAAGAGGAAGAGCGAAGGAGGCAGAGGAAGAATGATGCGAGAAGTTGATAGAGAATTTATTTAATCTTCTAGGTTTTTTCAGTAGTGGGCCAATTATTGAGCCCGATTAATTACTCAATTGGGCCTTTTAAGCTAATTTCGTTTTCGGTTCAAAGTTCTCTTTTGATTTTGGGTTTGCTTTTGGCGTTACATTTTTTGTTTTTTTTTAACATCTGATTTAGAATGTGTGGAGAAAGTATGGTGTTGAGTCCGGATTTAGATTTGAATATATATTATGGATGGTTTGGTTCATATTCTGTTTCCATTCGGATTCGGATTTTGGTTTTTCGGATACAGAAAAAATGAATCT